ACTGCCATCATCCATTTTCAGACAGCAGCGAAATCATAGGAATTTTAGATACACGCCGGCGTACAAAGCTCCGTACTCTGCTCCTGATGAGCATAGTCATAAATGCTATGAGAAGACTTCGAGCCCCTTATGGCCACTTATTCTTTGGTTCACCCAGTTAGGCGGCTGGAAAGAACAGCACGTTGAAGCTGAACGTCAAAAATAGAATACAGGGAAAATCAGCAACCTAGGACCATCCAAATCATGGGCACAGAAGACCACCTCTAAGTACCTGGGACGCTTTACCTTCAGATGGTAGTACCACGATGAGAAAACTAATAAGCTGAATTCAGCTCGGGCATAGACAGGCACGAGATTACATGCTAGTTGGATGCCGCGAAACGCAAGTCAATTTACCGTACAGTGCCCTACGGCGCTACAGGAAAACGAATCCTGGTCATGTACAGGTGGCAAGTAGAGAAAATTGTTGTAAGTATGAATTTTTACGCTCAACCATATCAAAGGATGAAGTTTGAAGCAAATTCAAAATCACGTCAACCATCAAGAGAATCCCGAAAACACCCTACGCTGGTGCACATAAGGCGAAGAGAAGAAAACTAAACCATGATCATGTCAGTAACGGTGCCGCCAAAGAGGCGCCAAGAGGAGGATCTAAGTTGCAATGGCTGGGCATTGTCGAAACAGACATGAGACCTGAGATAAATGAATGGCAAACCTTAGGACAATATTAGAGAGACGAATCTTGCATGACGGGAAAATGCAAGGACTGAGTAGAGTGAACATCCGCGGGCATTAGTGATGAGAGCTTACGTAAAAGAATGATGTACAGAACTTCCGCATGGCATAGCAAGTCTAAGAAATTGTAACAATTAAGCCTATAATATGGAATACTCGGAAATTCAAAAGTTTTGCAAAAAAAGACTAAAACAAGACTTGTCGGTGTAGCAGAGTTCAGAAGCAAATGAACCTGCGAGGGAAAAGAAGATTGAGCAAAAAACGATGTTTGAAGTGCGGAACTTTTGCAAAGCATGGTGCGCAGTTTCTGGGCCTATCACTTACACTCCGCACTGTAACGCAAAAAATTTTTAGGGCTCAAGTTTTGTAGAATCGTGAAATATTGAAAAGAAGGACTGAACAGAGAACGGCTTTGAATTACGAACCTGCAGCGACGACAGTATCTAGAGTAGGAAGCCGTCGCCGAACCTGCATACTGACGTCTCTGAAGATAAGCACCTGCAAAATCAGCCTTCGCCCTATTTCACGCGAAATTTTCGAGGGCCCCTGCAGTAAAGGCTCTCGCGTTACTAAAGAAAGCTCACGTACCTGAGTAAGTACCATGTATCGTATAACATTTCTTCGCATCATACGACTCTTCTCGTCGTTTCCGCGCAGATATGTGGACATCACTAAGGCGGTGCTAAAACGATGCCTTTCTGTTTAGAGAATTTTTTCAGTCCTTTTTAGTGCTAGGAAGAGTAAAATCTAGTCACCTACTTGTCCACCCATCCGACATTGTTAAAGTATTCATTCCAACGTCCAACAATAATAGTTACAAAGAAACCAAGCATGAATGTAAGTGGAATGTAGTCAAGCTTCTGATCAAAAAGTGCGGAGAGATTGTCCCAGAACCTAAACGAGGAGATTTTCAAAAAAAAATTCGACGAGATTGTTTCTCTTCATGTGTCACAGCTT